GGGCCCCCCCCCCCCCCCCCCCCCCGGTTATTGTACATTGTATATATCTTTGGCCAATTAGTCTAAGCAAAGATGACTTATTAAAAAAGTAAATTTTGGAAGCTGATATTGTTGGAACAAGGTCCTTTTCAAAATAAAATATAAATATATTTCAAATATAATATTTTTATAATCAAATGTGGTATATGTAGCACTAAGGTGTTCAAATTTAAGTTTATGGTCACTCAATAAATTATTGGAACTCTGAATATCCAAACATTTGATATGCAAATTTATGTGGAACATATACAAATGTAATTAGATAGTTATCAGTTGTGTATTATTCGAATTCCAAATGAAAATGCCCATTTGAGTTCATGGTTTTGTAGGATTTTATACTAATCTCTTGTGCATTATTTTAAAGCCATTATTAGAGCAAGGACAGATCCATTGTTGAGGGCGATAAATATTTTATATTTTCCTCTACACACATTTTTTTTCTCGAAAAAAGCAACGACTTTTTGAACTTTTGATGAAATTTTCAACATTTGCTTTGTTGATGCGAAAGCATATGAAATTATGAGTGAGGGAGATAGAGAACGGACAGATCCACCGTTGAGGGTGACAAATCTTTTTTTTTCCTTTCCACACATTTTTTTCTCCAACAAAGCGACGACTTTTTGAACTTTTGCTGAAATTTTCAACATTTGATTTGTTGATGCGAAAGCATATGAAATTATGAGTGAGTGAGATAGAGAACGGACAGATCCACCGTTGAGACATATGAAATTATGAGTGAGAGAGATATATAACGGGTAATTGGCACAAAACGTCGTTAAATATAAGCAAAGATGACTTATTAAAAAAGTAAATTTTGGAAGTTGCAATTGATGGAACATGTTCTTTCTCAAAATAAAATATAAATATATTTCAAATATAATGTTTTTATAGTCGAATGTAGTATATGTAGCATAAGGTGTTCAAATTTGAGTTTATGGTCACTCAATAAATTATAGGAAGTCTGAATATCCAAACATTTGATATGCAAATTTATGTTGAATATATACAAATGTAATTAGATAATTGTTAATTGTGTATGATTCGAATTCCAAATGAAAATGCCAGTTTTCATGGTTTATAGAATATGTGTGGAAAAAAAGTGTGTTTCATTAATTTAAATTATAGTCCTCGTTTGATTCCCATTTTTATAAGAATTATAATGAATAATATAGTTGTTACAAGACCCACACAAGAGAAAGAAAAGTCAAATATTGTGGAGTGATGTGATGGATAATGATCATATTTTTTATTTTTCGGGCCAAAGAATAAAAAACAAACGGGGCCTTATAAAGTAAAATTTGACAAGCATCTTGCATAGGATTTTAGCCCCTGTTTGATTCCCATTACTTGAAAATGAAAATGGGGGGAATAGTATTTTTTAGAAAAATGAGTGGTTGAAAAAGAAGGAAAAGTTTTCGATTTACGTGTAATATTATTTTATGGAAGATTGTATGATTGAAAATAGGAGAGAAAAAAATGGAATGTAATGTAATTTAGGCCCCGTTTGGTAGAGATTTTTTGCTCCAAAAAATTGATTTTTTGACCGTTATTTTACTATTCAAGTCGTAATTTTTGACTTCTTCTCTCACATGTGGACCCCACTTTTCTTTTAACGGTCAAAAAATCAATTCTCAAAATTTCTACCAAACGGGCCTTAATTTAATGGTGATCAAACAGGGGCTTATATTGATCTCTTGTGCATTATTTTAAAGCCATTATTAAAGCAAGGACTGACGGTGACAAATCATTTTTTCCTTTCCACACATTTTTTCTCGAAAAAAGCAAGGACTTTTTTTAACTTTTGCTTTGTTGATGTGAAGGCATATGAAATTATGAGAGAGAGAGCCAGAGAACGGAGCTTTTTCTCCGTTTGTTTTTGCTGATATGTTCAACCTTTGCTTTGGGTTTATTTTTTGAAAAATTTGAAACAATCGAAAGTGAATATTTGTTGGTTTCACAAAATCGTAAATTGTGAAATAATCTTATAATGAGGCCCAATCCATGTTGATTATGGGGCATAACAAAAAGGCCCTGTTTGGCCCCCATTACGGGAAAAATTTAATGTATAGAATAGTATTTTTTGAAAAATGAGTGGTTGAAAAAGAAAGAAAAATTTTCGATTTACGTGTAATATTATTTTATGGAAGATTGTGTGGTTGAAAATAAGAGAGAGAAAAATAGAATGTAATGTAATATAATGAAAATCAAACAAGGGCAAAGTGTGTTTCATTAATTTAAATTATAAAGTAAAATTTGGCAATCATCTTGCTTACTAGGTCCCAAGGTACTAGCCTTTTATTTTTGAAGGAAGGACGGATGCATTGTCGAGGGTGACAAATTAATTAATTAATTCCTTTTTTATTTTTTCTTTTTTTATGCACATCTTTCCTCAAGAAAGCAATGACTTTTTCAACATTTGCTGAAATTTTCAACATTTGCTTTGTTGATGTGAAAGCATATGAAATTATACAGAGAGAGATAGAGAACGGACCTTTTCTTCCTTCATATTTTTGCTGATGCGTTCAACCTTTGCTTTGGGTTAATTTTTTGAAAAAATTTGAAACAAATTTACTCTCATTTTTCTCTCTTTGCTCAGCCTTTTGCCCAAACCAAAAATAGAGGATCTCTCTTTGTTCAGCCTTTTGCCCAAACGAAATATGGATGATCTCTCTTTGTTCGGCTTTTTCGTCAAACCAGAATCAAAAATGGAGCGTCTCGTTTTGTTTCCGTCCGAATCAAATATGGAGGATCTCTCTTGCGAAAATCTGTCTCGTCTAGTCAAAATCCCAGATCTCCTTTCTCGTTTGCTAGCTTTAAGGCTTGATGGAGGAGAAAAAAATGTTAGCTTTCAATGGCTCGGCCCACACTTTCTAACTTTTCTCAAATATGTAAAAGAATTATTGCGATGCTTCTATCCAGACTGCTGCAGACCATTTACCATGCACAATCCATGTTGTCTGTTGAAGCGTCTCGATGATTCAGCCTTCGATTGCATCTTATACGAGGAGATCTTTTCTTATCACGATAATGAACATTACAAAATCTTTTTACAAATCGTTCTCACTTCCATGCCAAAGCTTAACGAGTTTTTCACGATTCAAACATCCATCACAAATAATTTCAAAGTAAATAAAAATTGGGAAATCTTCACCGAGTTTCTTTTTGAAACTATTCGAGAGTTGCTTAGTTGCCATAAGGATTCCACGGTTCTTGTGAGTAATCAACTCGAATTTCTTCAGAAGGGGTTGAAATTTCTGCTCACCTTTATTTTTTATCCAATTCCAAGCTATGATGAAGAACAGAAGAAGAGTATATTCACAGAAATTGAAGCTGTATTTAATGAAGCAGGACTTTTCTTGCATTCTTTCTTTTTCACCACAGATCTTGTTACTACCCCCAAAATGGATCTTGCAATTTTTGGTCTGTTAGAAAGGATTGAGATTGTGCTAGTGAAGATTAAATATTACAGTATTGCAGTGTCAAGTGAAGTTGGAATTGGAAGCCTACAAGTTGCAGATAGTCCAAGTGAAGTATCATCATCCCAAGGTAACGGCAGTCCCATGGTAGAAGAGATCGTTGTGGGCTTAGAGGACACGACAACACAAATTGTGAGCAAGCTTGTTGGAGGACCAAAGTACCGCCAGATTATTTCCATCGTTGGAATGGGTGGACTTGGCAAGACAACCTCAGCAAAGAAAATATACAATGATCCCAGTGTTCGGTACTATTTTGATAAGCTTTCTTGGTGCGCCGTTTCTCAAACTTATAATAAGAGAAAGCTGTTGATTGACATTTTGAGCTCCTCACGAGACCTTGACAAAGAAACTATGTTAAAAAAGGAAGATGAAGAGTTGGCCGAACTTCTTTACAAAAGTTTAAAGGGTAAAAGATACCTCATTGTTGTGGATGATCTATGGGAGAAAGAATCATGGGATGATTTGAAAAGGTTATTTCCAGATGATAGCAATGGAAGCAGAGTAATGATTACCAGTCGGCTGAAAAATGTGGCATCGGAAATTTCTCATGTTATCATTGAACCTCCTCCCCTTTCACCAGAGGAAAGTTGGAAATTATTAGAGCAGAAGGTGTTCAAAAAAGAATGTTGTCCTCAAGAGCTGCAAGATATTGGAAAGAAAATTGCAGCAAATTGTAAGGGATTACCACTTTCAGTAGTTTTGATAGCTGGAATTCTTTCAAATATCCAGAAAAAAGAAAGCTTATGGCAACAAGTTGCTAAAAGTTTAAGTTATTACATTTCCCAAAAAGCTGACGACTACATTCCCACGTTGAAACTTAGCTACATCCATTTACCAGATCACTTGAAGCCATGTTTTCTCTATCTTAGTGCATTCCAGGAAGACGAGGAAATTCCAGTTCGGAAGCTATTATTACTATGGATAGTCGAAGGATTCATAGAGAAAAGGGAGCAAAAGACCTTAGAAGATGTAGCAGAGGAGTATTTAATGGAACTTGTTAACAGGAGCCTACTTCAAGTGTCCGAAAGAAGATCTGACAATGGAGTAAAAGTATGTACTCTTCACGATCTAGTTCTCGATATGTGCAGCAAAATGGTTGGAGAAGATGAAAATTTTCTATTTCAACAGTAAGTTAACTCTCTCTCTCTCTCTTTCTAATTCGTTCTTGTTTTACTTCAGTTTCCAATTTATCCTACTAATTTGTCGTAATTATGTCAATGATGCTGCTATTGCTGATGCTGGTTGATGTGGTTAAACTTATGATGATCCTCATTCTATATCTCTAGTCAATTCTTGGTATCTAAGCATCGCCGTCTCCATCACTTGTATATGGGTCAGTTTCATCGCGTCTTGATATCTGAGAATATTTTCGAGGCCTTCTCCATTGCTTATAATTTGGAAAAAATTAGGATCGTTGATTCAAGCAATGATAAAAATGTTCTACAGGGAATCAATTTTATGCTTGACGTGAGGTACTTGAAAATTTCTGAATTAGAGCCATCAATAGGCAAACTCCATAACCTTGAATATCTTTGTTTGCTTCATATAGATGAAGTACCGACATACCTTCTCAATATGCCTAAGTTGAGACATTTAAGGGTCGGTGGCTGCTATAATGGTGCAATATTCACTAAGAACAGTGATAGCTTCCGAATAAATTGCCTACAAACCCTTGGTTTCGTTGAGATTGTCAATTTGGAAGACGAAGAAATCTTGAGATGTTCACCTAATCTTCGTATGCTTAAATGCTATTCAATCGACAATTACTTTCCTGATCTCAGCTTTTTTACTCAGCTTCAAACACTCACAATTGCAGGAGAACTGTTAAGACGTGCTTACTCGATGGTTAAATTTCCTATGAATATCAAAAAGCTTACTCTTATTTCCTTTGGTTTTCCTTGGGAAGAGATGTCATTAATTGGGACATTGCCCAACCTCGAGATTCTGAAATTAGAAAGGAATAGCTTTTCAGGAAAAATTTGGGATACGAAGGATGATGAGTTCCAAAAACTCAAATTCCTTAAATTAGATTCGCTAGACCTTGAACAGTGGAATTTGTCACACAATCATTTTCCTGTACTTGAACGATTGGTGTTGGTAGATTGCGAATGTTTGGGGAAGATTCCTTCTGAATTTAGTAACATTTCAACACTACAGAGGATTGAGTTACTTTTTTGTGGTGAAGATGTTGAAACTTCAGCTCTGGAAATTCGTCAAGAACAACTGGATTATGGTAATACAGAGTTTGATGTGACCAACTATAGCGATTGGTTGTGAAGACAACTTCGTTCTACTGGTGTACACCGTGTAAGTCAAAGCTCATTCCATCATTTTTTTTTCCTGAAATAAACGTTTTTATTATTCATTTTTAATTTTTTTAAATTTCCTTGCAAGAGATTCCTTTACATCCCACACCTCATGATTAGAAAATAATTTCGGGTTCCATGTCAATTGTTAGTTGTTTTTCTTTGTAGTTAGCATGAAGTTACGACTTCTTTATTGTAAGTAAAATAAATAATGATCCGGTTGCAAATTGTACCACATTATGGTTAATTTGACAAGTGATTGGATCTATATTATGGACTAGGCACATCTCACCATTGTCAGTGGAGTCAAACAGCCCTTGATGGTTTCCCACCCATCTAACTCATTCCATACTGCCCTTGCTTTCAAACAAAGAAATAAGGCATGCATGCTATCCTCCTTCGGATTTGCATTTAGTGGTTAGTGCATTGTAGAAAATTCTCCGCGCTAATATTTTGATTATTGGGACAACATTAAGGCGCCAAACATAAGATTCTGAAATTAGAGTTGGAAGTCTTTGAGGGAAAATCTGGAACACAGGATAATGAGCTCCAAAAGCTAAAATTCCTTGAATTATTGTGTCAGATCTTGGACAATGAGATTCCTTAAATGTCATTTCCATGTACTTGAACGACCTGTGTTGAGATTTTGCAAAAAACTAGAGAAGATTCCTTATGAATTTAGCTATATTTAAACACTACACGAGATTTAGGTATATTATTGTGCAAAAATTTCTAAAGTTCAGCTTTGCCAGTGCGTGAAGAACAATGGGATTACGGCAATGACGATTTTGAAGTGACCATTTATAAGAGTACAGATTCTTTTTGATAGAATATTAACAGATTTATATTTGTCAAGTTTTCATTTGCAGTTGAAAAAGAAAAAAGGAAATCTGCTAATCAGCTCTGTAAAAATTCTGTCTGTACACTCGATTTTTTCCAAGAGTCTACGTTCTACTGATGTACACAGTATAAGTCAAAGCTCATATATTCTTGAAGTAGTAAAATTAGAAGTTAAAAAGATCAAAAGTCTGTTGGAGTACTTAAAATTTTTATTCTTTAAATTTATAGATGCTTTATAAATTATAAAATATTCTCTTTAAGAATAGAAAGCCTCTTGAAGGTGCTCAACAAATGCTCACATCATTTTCTGAGGTGCAGGATATTCTAGGCATTTTTTGCCAACCAGTTGCCTAATAAAACGCCCAAAAACCATGAGCTATGGCCGCAGCCGATTGCCCTTGAGAAATGAAACATCTAAAGTCCAAGCTCGGACCTGACCCGTGGACAATGAGCATGCAGTGACAAATGAGAATATGGGGGATAGGCTATTCGAGACAGAGGTGCGGGTTGAACAAGCCAGGGCAAGAGAAGCCGATACACAGAATAGCTAGATCACCTGGCTTGCTTCTACTCTTCTTGTTTAACTTCCTCAGTTTCGATCTCTCCCTTTTCTTACTCATTCTTGTTGTAATAAAGGAGAAATAGATAGTTGTGATTTCCTTTTTCTTTTGTGCAGCTAGATAAGTTGGCAGGGAGATTGGCATAAGTTGAAATGCTGAGTCATAACAGGGAGAGACAGGATTAGTTTAATCTCTGCATTCAATACAACTTTTGTTTGGTTGGCAATGGAGTTTAATGATTGTCGGGATACAAAGTATTAGTGGGAAATAATAATTCATAATGAATGGTACTTTTGATATTTTGCAAGACGTGAAGGGTTACATTGGTTATTTAGGCTAACATGATTTAAGAACCATAACCTTATTTGTGTTCCATTTGGTCAGAGTGCTTCGGAGTTCAAAATCAGCCATGAATAAAGCACAACTAGCAAAACTAGAGAACCAAAATCACAGTTGGCACAGTTTGATCAAACCTCGGTACTCAGCGAATCGGGGTCCAATCTACTTGAAATTTGGAGACATTTGCAAGACACATTAGTCTTCAATTTTTTACGGTTACAATCGATCAAATATAAATCATTCAAAAATCAATATTAAAGCATTCAATATGTACAAAGTTTGATTGTGCCTCTCCAACTAAGAATAATGTTGGAGGATCCCTTTTGATCATCAATTCCATATCATATGTGATCATATTATTAAAATTGTCATTTTTTAAATTGAAAAAAATTATTTAATCAAGAAGCATAATGCAACAAATCTTTCATGTAATCAGTGCATCACTTGCCAACTAACCACTAAATCACGTCAAGAAAGCGTTGAAATTAATAAATACACTAAATCAGTTATGATGTAAACCAATCAATTTCAGACAGTATAATACATAATGTAACATAGCGATGAAATTAGAAATTAGATTGAGATTTAGTGATCCTAATCAAGGCAAAATAAAATTTAGCATCTCAATTGAGATTTTACTGAAAGTTTGGTGACTCTGATTGAATTTGCCCCAGTTTTTCTTTATTTTACTATAGTTGGGGGGTCGTTTTGTAAATTAAATTAGAAGAATGGGGGTATTTTGTAACTTCAATCTTTCAACGTCTTCTTTGAATTGTAAATGCTCTGACAATTTACTAGTACAATGTCAATTTTTAAATGTTTCTTCTATTATTGTATATTAGAATAGACAAATGTGCATGTGCACTTTCCCGAAGTTATTGAGATATTTGAATCAAAAGATGCCTCGCACATGCCCACTCAGTCGAAGGTGAAAATGCAGTGATTTCATGCTGGGACAGGTGGTTTTATCATTTCACATGACTTTCTTTAGAATAAAGCTATACAGACCATAGCTCATAGAAGTCTTACAGAATTTCAAAAAATCGGGTGACTTGGCGTTAAAAAAAAAAAAGAAAACGAAAAAGCGGGAAGAGAATGTTAAAAAGGAGGGAAAGAAGCTCATCTCCCCCAAAACAGGAGGAAATGGTGGGCAATGGCTGCCCCACCCGGTATGTTTATCAAAATAGCCTTTGACCAAGTTTTAAAAAAAAAAAAAAAAAAAAAAAAGAGGGAAAATGTTATTATTTGTGTAGGGTTGAAAATACCCCCATCAAGGAAAGAAGAGAAGAGAAAATAGAGAGAAAAAAGAAGAGAAAAAAAAAAGAAAAAATCAACCCGGACCGTCGACGTCGCCTACGGACTCTGCCCGGACCTCACCAACTTCGACCAAGACCAGAGCCACCTCGATTCGTCGGAGACCGTCATTTTCTGGAAGGTTAGACATGTTTTCTATAAATAACTACTTCGAATTTGTAAAAGTTTGAATGTTTAGGATATGAATATGGATTAAATTCATGTTTTTATGGTTAAAATGTAAGAAAATATCGAATTTGAGGTTAAAATGTTGAAAAAGAGTGAAAAAAAGGGACGGAGCTCGTCGAAAATGGAGTTTCCGACGGCTCCGTCGGTTGCATCGTCCGTAACAGACCAGAAATGGTCCGTTACGGACCACAGCGATGGTCCGTTACGGATCGTAACGGACCATGTGGTCCGTTACGGCTACCGGATCGGGTCCGGACTGGTCCGGACACACCGACCCGGATTTTGGTCCGGGTCAGCTATCCGGCCCAAATCCGGGTCCGGACCCGGATTTGGGTCAAAATAAATTATTTTTTTCAGAATTATTGTTTTATTTTTGTGTTAAGAAATAAAATGAAATATAAAATAAATTATATATTAAGAGAATTAACGAAATATTTAAAGATAAATTAAATTGAGTTTTAATTTTTTTTCTTTTTTACTTAAATATACGTTTCAAATAAATAATTGAAATTGATTAATTAAATATGAAATAAATAATATACATAATTAACGAAATATTTAAAGAATAAATGAAATTGAATAATATTTTTTTACCTAACCAATTAAGATAATTAATTAAAGAAATGGTGAAACGAAAAATCGAATAAAGATTATTATTTTTATTCAAATAAATAATCGAAATAAATAATATATATAATTAACGAAATATTTAAAGAATAAATTAAAAAAAACAATAATTTTTTTACTTAACGAACTAAGATAATGAATTAAAGAAATAGTAAAAGGAAAAATCGAATAGATATTATTCAAATAAATAATCGAAATAGAGTAATTAAATATGAAATAAATAAAACACAGGATTAACGAAATATTTAAAGAATAAATGAAATTGAATAATATTTTTTTACCTAACCAATTAAGATAATTAATTAAAGAAATGGTGAAACGAAAAATCGAATAAAGATTATTATTTTTATTCAAATAAATAATCGAAATAAATAATATATATAATTAACGAAATATTTAAAGAATAAATTAAAAAAAACAATAATTTTTTTACTTAACGAACTAAGATAATGAATTAAAGAAATAGTAAAAGGAAAAATCTAATAAATATTATTGAAATAAATAATCGAAATAGAATAATTAAATATGAAATAGATAAAACACATGATTAACGAAATATTTAAAGAATAAATTAAAAAAACAATAATTTTTTTACTTAACGAACTAAGATAATGAATTAAATAAATAGTAAAACGAAAAATCGAATAAATATTATTCAAATAAATAATCGAAATAGAGTAATTAAAAATGAAATAAATAATATACATAATTAACGAAATATTTAAAGAATAAATGAAATTGAATAATATTTTTTGTACTTCATCAATTAAGATAATTAATTAAAGAAATTGTAAAACGAAAAATCGAATAAATTTGTAAATAATATATATATATAGTCAGATAATTAACGAAATTTAATATTTAAATAAATATTAAATAGTCAAATATGTGAAAAAATTTTTGTTTAACTGTTTTAATATGTGATTGGATGAATTTATTTATTTGTTTATTAATATGAAATTTGATTGGTTAAATTTGAAGGTACGATATTTTATTTAAAATTTCTTTTATATGGTTTTAACATGTATTAATTTTGTAGGATGGAATATCATATCGACAACGATCTGAGGGCTCATTCGGGAAAAGTTACGACGTATTGTAACTTTTCCAGCTATGCGATAGTACTTGAGGGGCTGGACGAGGAGCATATTGACTTACTCCGTCGATCGTTTTTATGGTCGTTCTATTCGTTGAAGGACGTGCAATTCTCTGGACAGATTGTTGATTCTTTATTACTCCGGCTGCTTAAACCAGTCGATGGCGATCAGTTATATTTTGCTATGGGGGACGGGAAGATATGTAGATTCTCGATCCTTGAATTTGCCCTGATTACGGGCTTGAGATGTACCGGAGAAGAAGAAGCTAGAGCCCGTATTATACGAAATAAAAGGTTATTGGATTTATATTTTGGAGGTAAAGGGCCAGTTACACCACCACAGTTAGAGGACGCATTTAGGAAATGCGATCACATGTTAGACAAGTTGAAGTTAGGATTGTTGTATATATTGGAGAGTATATTGAGGTGTCGACATCGTAGGACGTCGACTGATCTTTTTTCATTGGATGTTGTTGATGATATCGATGCTTTCAACAGCTTTCCATGGGGTTAGAGATGTTACACCGATACTCTCCATGTATTCAGAAGGGTACATACTATGCCGAAATCGGAGAGGGCCGATCGCAAATATGATGTATATGGCTTTTGCATGGCTTTGCAGGTAAATATTCAGTGTAACGTAATGCGTGTTGAACTTTTTTATTAAATGTATATGTAAAGTTTTATTTTGTAATTGTTGCAGTTGTGGGCATATGAGGCTATCCCTGCTTTGGGTAGCAAATGGGTGATTAGAAGGGAGACCAGCTGCCCACGAATGCTTCATTGGCGAGCACATGAAAAGCCATCGGCTAAAGATTTGACAGTTATCCTCGACGATCCTCAGGTGAGTATTATATATTTGCAATTTATATTGTACATACATTTACTCGGCTCGATACATGTTCGTTAACACGTTGAAATATGGTATGTCAGCTCGAAGTTCATGCTGAGTTGGTTGTCTCAATGGCAGAGGAGGATGCAATATATGTACGTGAATTACTTTTTCCACCTACTGAAGACGATCCAGTATTTGAGTCCGTTCCGGATAGAAATATAGTACGTTTATTTAAGTTCATTATTTATTTTGACTTATAAATTCATGTGTGAATTATTAATATTAATTGTCTTCTCTGTGTAGGAGCGCCATCCGGAACTTCCACTTAGGAGATCTCCTTCGCCTCCACCGATGAGATCTCCGTCACCTCCACCGATGAGATCGCTTCTACCGCCATTATCTCATTCTCCGAGGATATCTCCGTCTCCCGTACCCACCCACCTCCCACATGGATCGCCTACGTCCAGTCAGACCCGTCATTCAGATGATTTCTTTACACGCATGACTGGCATTATTAGAGAGGAGCTGGGAACGATGCGACGTGATTTTACGACAGAGATCGTCGCATTACGAGAGGAGATAGGGGTGCTGCGACGGGATTTTACGACAGAGATCGTCGCAGTACGAGATGAGATAGGGGTGCTGCGACGAGATTTTACGACAGATGTAGTAGCTTTGCGAGATGAGATTGGAGTGCTGCACGAGATATAGGAGACCTTCATACTGAGGTTGCAGCACTTCGAGGCGATGTAGCAGGCGTCCGAGGGAATGTCGGGGAGACTGGTGTCCCTCGAGATTGGTGGGCAACGGCGGGGGGAATCGATGAGTTTTTTGGTTCGGTGTCGGAGGCCGAGAGGGAGGGGGTGGAGGTCGGGCAGGAGGAGCCGGAGGAGGCCGGGATGCCCGGGGTGGAGGTCGGGCCGGAGGTGCCGAAGGAGGCAGAGATAGAGGGGGTGGAGGGAGGGACAGGAGTGGCTGAGGAGGTAGTGGAGGGGACATCAGAGGTGGTAGTAGAGGGGGATGATCAAGTTGCGGAGGATGAGAGGACGCCGGAGATGACGGATGACGAGGTAGTATTCGTGTCGGAGGGGGCGACGGAGGTCCCGAAGGGTAAGAAGCGTGCTGCTGACGCGCCAGAGCTGATGGTCGGTAAGAGATCAAGATTGCCGTCACAGTACATCGTTTCTCCCTACACGGTCGAGGCGAAGAGAAGGGGATTTGTAGATGGGGCGTACCCCAATCTTTTTCGCGACGTCGACCCAGTCAGACAGAAGGCGTTCGATGATTGATTCAAATCCCTTAAGTCCGAGTAAGTATTTTATGATGTTGCTACTTTTTTTTTGTATTTTTGGTAACTGTTTTTTCATTTTTCAGAGATAGTTATACCATCGGTTGTATGACCGTGCCCAATGCTAAAAAGTGGTTTGAAGATGTACTGACGACCTCAGCTTGGCTCGCTGATGATGTAAGTTTTTTGAGTTTCCGTTTATTATATTTATACAAGTTGTTGGTTCATTTACTTAAATGACTCTATCTTTTTTGTTGGTGTTTTTTTGTTTCAGCATATCGACTTGGCTATGGAATTGTTACGCGATCGGGCGCGGAGATACCCGAGATCTTATGACAGTCCTACTCGAGTTATCTTGACCGCTGAGTTCGTTCATGTCGTAGATATTGAGCATCAGGAGCTCCTAAGCAAGGGGAATGATTATGTTCTGTCTGAGTACATGCTAGAGTGGGTGATTGGACTACAGTTGAGGTGCGGAAAGCCGTGGACGGATTGTACACATATGTACATTCCAGTGATCGCGAACTCACACTGTTTTTCGGTGGAGATCGTATTTGCTGATTCCACCATATATGTGTACGACTCTGATCATAGCTGTCTGACACAAAGTCAACTGGAGCAAATACTGGAGCCATTGGCTGTGATCGTGCCCATGATGGCTAGTCATGCGATGATTCGAGTAAATGATAGATTAGCCATTGTGCGGAACACGACGACGGCGAGACAAGAAAGATCGTAAGGATTTACAACTTTTAAATTTTCAGATTTAATTTTCAATTATATGTTATGGAACTAATATCTTCTACTTCGGTTGCAGGGGTGACTGTGGCTTATTTGCAATCAAGTACATAGAGTTCTTGAGCATTGGTCGCAATGTTGATACAATAAATCAGTCTTGGATTGATATGTGGAGGCATAAATTAGCTTGCGACTTGTATGAATATAACTGTGATCCTTAGTACATTGTAAATTATTTTATTAAAATGTAAATGTTGTTTACATCAGTAGGTTCGTGTTGTACTGAAAGAAATAAATAATCGAAATAGAGTATACTGTATGATATTATTTTGAAAATTTAAATGATAATCGGGAATTAAATGGACTAAATCGGATGCAATTGGAAACAAATGACCGATTCATGTAATATTTGGTTCGAAAAAAGCTTTAAAAATTTTGGGGACCTAATTGCAACTTTTTAATAGTTGATTCGAAATATAAAATGATAATCGAGAATTAAGACAAGTAATTAAAGAAATAGTGAAACGAAAAATGGAATAAATATTATTATTTTTATTCAAATAAATAATATACATAATTAACGAAATATTTAAAGAATAAATTAAAAAACAATAATTTTTTTACTTAACGAACTAAGATAATGAATTAAAGAAATAGTAAAAGGAAAAATCGAATAAATATTATTGAAATAAATAATCGAAATAGAGTAATTAAATATGAAATAAATAAAACACATGATTAACGAAATATTAAAAGAATAAATTAAATTGAATAATATTTTTTTACCTAACCAATTAAGATAATTAATTAAAGAAATAGTGAAACGAAAAATTGAATAAATATTATTATTTTTATTCAAATAAATAATCAAAATAAATAATATACATATTTAACGAAATATTTAAAAAATAAATTAAAAACAATATTTTTTTTACTTAAACAATTAAGATAATTAATTAAAGAAATAGTAAAACGAAAAATTGAATAAATATTACTCAAATAAATAATCGAAATAGAGTAATTAAATATGAAATAAATAATATACATAATTAACGAAATATGTAACGTATAAATTAAATTGAACAATATTTTTTTTACTTAAACAATTAAGATAATTACTTAAAGAAATAGTAAAACGAAAAATCGAATAAATATTATTCAAATAAATAATCGAAATAGAGTAATTAAATATGAAATAAATAAAACACATGATTAACGAAATATGTAACGAATAAATTAAATTGAATAATATTTTTTTTTACCTAACCAATTAAGATAATTAATTAAAGAAATAGTAAAACGAAAAATCGAATAAATATTATTCAAATAAATAATCGAAATAGAGTAATTAAATATGAAATAAAAGGAAAAATCGAATAAATATTAATTAAATATGAAATAAATAATATACATAATTAACGAAATATGTAACGAATAAATTAAATTGAATAATAATTTTTTTACTTAAACAATTAAGATAATTACTTAAAGAAATAGTAAAAGGAAAAATCGAATAAATATTATTCAAATAAACAATCGAAATAGAGTAATTAAATATGAAATAAATAATATACATAATTAACGAAATATGTAACGAATAAATTAAATTGAATAATATTTTTTTTATTAAACAATTAAGATAATTAATTAAAGAAATAGTAAAATGAAAAATCGAATAAATATTATTCAAATAAATAATCGAAATAGAGTAATTAAATATGAAATAAATAATATACATAATTAACGAAATATGTAACGAATAAATTAAATTGAATAATATTTTTTTTACTTAAATAATTAAGATAATTAATTAAAGAAATAGTAAAACGAAAAATCGAATAAATATTATTCAAATAAATAATCGAAATATAGTAATAAAATATTAAATAAATAATATACATAATTAACGAAATATGTAACGAATAAATTAAATTGAATAGTATTTTTTTACTTAACCAATTAAGATAATTAATTAAAGAAATAGTAAAATGAAAAATCGAATAAATATTATTCAAATAAACAATCGAAATCGAGTAATTAAATATGAAATAAATAAAACACATGATTAACGAAATACGTAACGAATAAATTAAATTGAATAATATTTTTTTTACTTAAACAATTAAGATAATTAATTAAAGAAATAGTAAAACAAAAAATCGAATAAATATTATTCAAATAAATAATCGAAATAGAGTAATAAAATATGAAATAAATAATATACATAATTAACGAAATATGTAATGAATAAATTAAATTGAATAGTATTTTTTTACTTAACCAATTAACATAATTACTTAAAGAAATAGTAAAAGGAAAAATCGAATAAATATTATTCAAATAAACAATCGAAATAGAGTTATTAAATATGAAATAAATAAAACACATGATTAACGAAATATGTAACGAATAAATTAAATTGAATAATATTTTTTTTACCTAAATAATTAAGATAATTAATTAAAGAAATAGTAAAACGAAAAATCGAATAAATATTATTCAAATAAATAATCATAATAGAGTAATTAAATATGAAATAAATAATATACATAATTAACGAAATATGTAACGAATAAATTAAATTGAATAATATTTTTTTTACTTAAACAATTAAGATAATTAATTAAAGAAATAGTAAAACGAAAAATCGAATAAATATTATTCAAATAAATAATCGAAATAGAGTAATTAAATATGAAATAAATAAAACACATGATTAACGAAATATGTAACGAATAAATTAAATTGAATAATATTTTTTTTACCTAACCAATTAAGATAATTAATTAAAGAAATAGTAAAATGAAAAATCGAATAAATATTATTCAAATATGAAATAAATAAAACACATGATTAACGAAATATTTTTTTTACTTTACCAATTAAGATAATTAATTAAAGAAATAGTAATGTCTTCATATTGTTAGTTAATATATATCGTTGTCTCACTTATTTTAAAAGAAAACAAACAAATACATGACACATAGAAAATACATATGACAAATGTGATAAAAATAAAAAGAGTAATTAAACAATGTGATAAAGATTACATCCGATTTAAATTCAGAAAATCACAAACACATGACAAATAGAGAATACATATGATTTATATAGATACTACACATCCATCAAGTCATTGTTTAGTGGGATCTGGCTTGTACAAAATCGACGTGTATGTCTTGTAGCGCCGCACCTCCCGCACTTACGCGGTTGTGGAAACTCTCCTGTAGATGGTATTCTAGACGTCCGTCTACGACCAGGAGTACGCGGTGGAGCTTCAGGTGGCAACAAATTATTAAGTGCTACAATATAATCAGGAACTTCCCACTCGGCTTCATTTGGTAGAGGAAATATAGTTTCGGCATATGCTGCTCTCCAAAAATCAGTCTTATAATAATGACTGCACAAGCTGTGTGATGGAAATCCTCTATACATAGCTACTGCGACAGCATGTGCACATGGAAAACTTTTCAATTGAAATTTTCTACACGTGCAGGTATTGTCATTCAAGTCTACAATGTATCCAACATTACGCCCGCATCTCACGGAGAAGCGAAATTGATCTAGTGGTTCCACAAATAGAGCTTTTGCCACTTCCAGAGTTTTGAATAGTCGATCTTCCTGTGCCGGAGCTAGCACACTCGTGCAATTTTGGGATTCTTCACGTCGGTCATAAAACCACTGTTGCAACTTGCTGCGAATATGTTCAATCATTGCGAGAATCGGTAACTCTCGATCCTTCTTGAATAATGCATTCAGCAACTCTGCATTATTCGACGTCATCATGTTGTATCGACGTCCTGGAAAAAGTGTGCCCAATGTTCGACCCCCATATCTGATAGATATTTCCATGCACTTTCTGATTTATGTTCTATTTCGCCCATGAACTTTGTAAACTCTTCAAAGCTGTAAGTTTCTGCAGCTCTCCTAAACAATGCAACGATACCACTGCCCCGGTACCTAGTCTTCAGATTGCCCTGAATGTGGTACATGCAATAACCATGATGTGCTTCTGGAAAAACTTCGGCTATACCATTTATTATTGACTGCCCCCGGTCAGTTACAAATGCAAGGTTCTCGATGTTCCCAATTACTTCTCTCAACTTCGTGAAGAACCAACGCATTGCTAGATCATTCTCTCCATCGACAATGCCAAATGCAAGAGGGTAAATTTGGATATTGGCATCTTGACAAGTAGCAATAATCAACTTTCCTTCATATCTAGCTCTTAGGGTTGTACCATCAACTAGAATTAGAGGTCGCATCG